CGACAAGCGATTCATGTGGCTTAACAGCGAATGATGCTTCCCTGCGGGCTAGCAGATCAATGCCCGGCACTGACGTTCCGGCCCTGCGCATGGCATCAAGAAGCGGGTTCGCCGGCTCGGGAGTTGGCTCCGAGGCAGAATCGGAAACCTTTCCCATGCTACCATCAACATTCTCGACTCTTCTGCGCATCACTTCGTTACGAGTCGGTATACCGTGTGGCACGTCGTCTAGCAAAGCCTTGTGGAGTGGCTTTCGAGTCACCAGTGATGACCTCGACGCGGGCGCCACAGGAACGACCATTCCTTCAGACAGTTCATATTCCTGCATTTGGCGAAATGCTTCTTCTATGGATTCTGGGTCCTCTGGGACCCCCGGCAGCTCTCCTGTCGCCGTAGGAGTTCTTGTACAGAATGCTCTTGTACCTGTGGTTCTGGCAGCTCGCATCTTTCGACCACTAATGACTGTTGTTGTCCGTTTGGAGGTGCATATATTTCGACCCCACCGTCGTGATGTCTGGAGACATACTGGTATGCCAACGCCTCCGCCGCAGTACACGGTCGAAGCTTGTCGACAGCCACGCAGACAGGTACACCCTCTGCGATAACCGATGCGTTTTTGCCGTCGAATCCAACTATACGAGAACCAGCGCTCCACTTAGCAGTGACTTCGCCGTCGGTCGGCATTTTACGGAAGCACATTACATCACCTGCTTGATATTCCCCGGCAAGTGGTGTTGCTTTTCGGAGAGCGGCCCTCGCCGATCTATTCCCGACGTCGTGTTCCGCGAATGTTTTCCTGGCAGACGCACGGATCGAAGCCTGGCGAGAAAATTCGTCGGTTCCGTCCTCTGCAACATTCGCAAGCACTCCTGAGTCGAAAGTTTCCTCGTCGTCGAATTGGATCCCTGGGACACGGGGCGTGTTTCCGAGTACCCATTGAGCAGGCGCGAATCCGCCGACTCGTGACATCTCATCCTTCGTGCTGTCAACTTCTGATGCAGTAGAGTTGATTTCATCGAGTTCGGTGACATTTTTGTCGTGTACCACCCTCTTGAAGATGTTCTTCCAAAGTCCACCATGACTCCCGGTACGGCCTATCTGCTCCGGAGATTCGACTCCGGCGTCGCGGAAGTCGACCCCTTGACTCTTAACCCATTGCAGAAGCACTCCTCTGTTGCGCAGTCCACGGTTAAACACCATTCGTTGACCTGCCCATGCACACCAGTGTTGCTGGAGTGCAGTGAGGCATGCTCTCGAAGACGGCGTACCACCTCTCTGGTTGACAAGGATTACACGTTGCAATGTTGTATTTTGGCACACCGTGTTCAAAAAGGTGCAACGTTTTCTATCGTTGTCTTTTACTCCAGAGAGTCGATACATATTTCATGATTGAAGCAGAATTTCTTGAGCAAGGCAACCTTATGAATCTGAGCTAACGGCTCATGGTGTTCGCAAGATTCGCATCGATAACTCTTGGCAGCTTCAATGTAGTCAGACGACAATGTCGAGATTCTCAATAGCTGCACGAGAACACGATTAGGTACGTGACCAAACTGCCTGCGCAGTCGTCTCATAGCGACCCTTGTGCGGGGCGGGATTTGCAACCACGCGTTCCTTCTTTTTCTTTCGTGTTATGGCTCGCCAGGTAAGTTGACTTGTTCTAGGATAGATTGTTCTTCATCTCGCAAGCGCTCCTTAGAGACAGTAGCGACGTCGTCATCGCCGATGACCATGTCCATATCGTCTCTAGTTCTCTCCTCTGCGGCTTCAGCGGGGAAAGCTGAAAGTGCTAGCCTATCTAGTCTAACCTCTGAGGAAATCAAGGAAGTTCTGACTCGCGATGTCTGCATGTGACTCGAGGTACGAGTTCAGCGCACGGGTAACCTCAAGGCTTGAGCAACCGGGCTCATAATTTAGCGCAACAGTTGCAGGACCATGGTTTTGAGCCAATCCAGAGAAACAATCATTGATGACATGATGATTTGATGCTGATGTGTAAGCAACAACAAGATCAGGACTGCGCTCGACGATGTCTTTTGCCGTCGATGGCTCCAAATCTGGGCGCACCACCGCGTCACTCGGGACTGGGCAGGCGAACGCGACGCCGATGACGCAGAGCAGCACCCTGGCCTGGTTGGCCCCCACTCGTCCGCGAAGCGGATCGGTGTTCCTGATCACCTTCTCGACGATCTCTTTGTCGGTAGCAGTCATGCCGGGCGCGGACAGTTCGGCAACACACGCAGACAACAATTCATCTTGCACACTGATACGACGCAATCCAGAGCAATATTTGGCACGATTCTTAGCATTCATAGTAGTCATCTCATGCTGAACCAGCTACAGGGACGCGCACAAATACGATGTTCCGTCGACGCGGGTTCTCGGAGGCCGCACATAGATGGCTACTCGATCGCACTCTTCAGCATCAACAGAAGAATTCGCGGCAACGCGATCTTCCATACGCCTCTAGGACTGGGCGCCCTTGGTGCGGCCCATAGAACTCTTCTTCCAAACAGACCATGCCGGCGGGATCCTGATCTGGGCGCTGAACGGATCAATCTTGCAGTTCACACGCACTAGCTTCTCAGTT